TATTCCAGCCTCTGTACCACACGTCCTGGAACACTGAACCTTGTTCCAGCCTCTGTACCACACGTCCTGGAACACTGAGCCTTGTTCCTGCCCTTGTACCACCCCTGCTGGAACACTGAGCCTTGTTCCAGCCTCTGTACCTCACGTCCTGGAACACTGAGTCTTGTTCCAGCCCTTGTACCACCCCTGCCGGAACACTGAGTCTTGTTCCAGCCCTTGTACCACCCCTGCTGGAACACTGAGCCTTGTTCCAGCCCTTGTACTACCCCTGCTGGAACACTGAGCCTTGTTCCAGCCTCTGTACCACACGTCCTGGAACACTGAGCCTTGTTCCAGCCCTTGTACCACCCCTGCTGGAACACTGAGCCTTGTTCCAGCCTCTGTACCACACGTCCTGGAACACTGAGCCTTGTTCCAGCCTCTGTACCACACGTCCTGGAACACTGAGCCTTGTTCCAGCCCTTGTACCACCCCTGCTGGAACACTGAGCCTTGTTCCAGCCTCTGTACCACACGTCCTGGAACACTGAACCTTGTTCCAGCCTCTGTACCACACGTCCTGGAACACTGAGCCTTGTTCCAGCCCTTGTACCACCCCTGCTGGAACACTCAGCCGCCATTATGCAAGAGAAGGGCCGGGAAAGTAAATATATTCGGCCATCGTATATGTTTATGTTCCTCAATTAAGCGGAACACAAAAAGAGAAAGCTTTCAGAGCGTTAACGAGATGCTGAGGGGGAGAGTAGGCCAGCGTTTACCTCAGTGTGAGGCATTTACCTCACTGTGAGAGATTCCCCTCTCCCTCCCCCTCTACCTGTCTCTGTTCCATCTCCCTCTGTCTTTCCCAGAGGTTGGAAGGTATCGATGAGGACTTGTGTAATAGTATAAGTGTTGCTGCGCTATGGAAAGTGTGTGAGGTTTAGTCAAGAAACCCCCCCAGACAGCTGGGGGTTTCCCAGCTGTCTGGGGGGGTTTCTTAGTCTTGGTGACGGAGGTTGGGGGGTTGTGGCAAGTCTGGGGAGTAACTTGGGTAAGACAACCTCTTCCTGGAGGTTGTCTTGTCCTCCTGGAGGTTGTCTTGTCCTCCTGGAGGTTGTCTTGTCCTCCAGGAGGTTGTCTTGTCCTCCTGGAGGTTGTCTTGTCCTCCAGGAGGTTGTCTTGTCCTCCTGGAGGTTGTCTTGTCCTCCTGGAGGTTGTCTTGTCCTCCTGGAGGTTGTCTTGTCCTCCTGGAGGTTGTCTTGTCCTCCAGGAGGTTGTCTTGTCCTCCTGGAGGTTGTCTTGTCCTCCTGGAGGTTGTCTTGTCCTCCAGGAGGTTGTCTTGTCCTCCAGGAGGTGTCTTGTCTCCAGGAGGTTGTCTTGTCCTCCAGGAGGTTGTCTTGTCCTCCAGGAGGTTGTCTTGTCCTCCAGGAGGTTGTCTTGTCCTCCAGGAGGTTGTCTTGTCTTGTCCTCCAGGAGGTTGTCTTGTCCTCCAGGAGGTTGTCTTGTCCTCCTGGAGGTTGTCTTGTCCTCCTGGAGGTTGTCTTGTCCTCCTGGAGGTTGTCTTGTCCTCCAGGAGGTTGTCTTGTCCTCCAGGAGGTTGTCTTGTCCTCCTGGAGGTTGTCTTGTCCTCCAGGAGGTTGTCTTGTCCTCCAGGAGGTTGTCTTGTCCTCCAGGAGGTTGTCTTGTCCTCCAGGAGGTTGTCTTGTCCTCCAGGAGGTTGTCTTGTCCTCCAGGAGGTTGTCTTGTTGTCTTGTCTCCAGGAGGTTGTCTTGTCCTCCAGGAGGTTGTCTTGTCCTCCAGGAGGTTGTCTTGTCCTCCTGGAGGTTGTTTTGTCCTCCAGGAGGTTGTCTTGTCCTCCAGGAGGTTGTCTTGTCCTCCAGGAGGTTGTCTTGTCCTCCTGGAGGTTGTCTTGTCCTCCCTCCTGGAGGTTGTCTTGTTGTCTCCAGGAGGTTGTCTTGTCCTCCAGGAGGAGGTTGTCTTGTCCTCCAGGAGGTTGTTTGTCCTCCAGGAGGTTGTCTTGTCCTCCAGGAGGTTGTCTTGTCCTCCAGGAGGTTGTCTTGTCCTCCAGGAGGTTGTCTTGTCCTCCAGGTCCTCCTGGAGGTTGTCTTGTCCTCCAGGAGGTTGTCTTGTCCTCCAGGAGGTTGTCTTGTCCTCCAGGAGGTTGTCTTTGTCTTGTTCTCCTGGAGGTTGTCTTGTCCTCCAGGAGGTTGTCTTGTCCTCCAGGAGGTTGTCTTGTCCTCCAGGAGGTTGTCTTGTCCTCCAGGAGGTTGTCTTGTCCTCCAGGAGGTTGTCTTGTCCTCCAGGAGGTTGTCTTGTCCTCCAGGAGGTTGTCTTGTCCTCCAGGAGGTTGTCTTGTCCTCCAGGAGGTTGTCTTGTCCTCCTGGAGGTTGTCTTGTCCTCCAGGAGGTTGTCTTGTCCTCCAGGAGGTTGTCTTGTCCTCCAGGAGGTTGTCTTGTCCTCCAGGAGGTTGTCTTGTCCTCCAGGAGGTTGTCTTGTCCTCCAGGAGGTTGTCTTGTCCTCCAGGAGGTTGTCTTGTCCTCCAGGAGGTTGTCTTGTCCTCCAGGAGGTTGTCTTGTCCTCCAGGAGGTTGTCTTGTCCTCCAGGAGGTTGTCTTGTCCTCCAGGTGGTTGTCTTGTCCTCCAGGAGGTTGTCTTGTCCTCCTGGAGGTTGTCTTGTCCTCCAGGAGGTTGTCTTGTCCTCCAGGAGGTTGTCTTGTCCTCCAGGAGGTTGTCTTGTCCTCCAGGAGGTTGTCTTGTCCTCCAGGTGGTTCTTGTCTCCTGGAGGTTGTCTTGTCCTCCAGGAGGTTGTCTTGTCCTCCAGGTGGTTGTCTTGTCCTCCAGGAGGTTGTCTTGTCCTCCAGGAGGTTGTCTTGTCCTCCAGGAGGTTGTCTTGTCCTCCAGGAGGTTGTCTTGTCCTCCAGGAGGTTGTCTTGTCCTCCAGGAGGTTGTCTTGTCCTCCAGTTCCAGAGGTTTGTCTTGTCCTCCAGGAGGTTGTCTTGTCCTCCAGGAGGTTGTCTTGTCCTCCAGGAGGTTGTCTTGTCCTCCAGGAGGTTGTCTTGTCCTCCAGGAGGTTGTCTTGTCCTCCTCTTGTCCTCCAGGAGGTTGTCTTGTCCTCCAGGAGGTTGTCTTGTCCTCCAGGAGGTTGTCTTGTCCTCCAGGAGGTTGTCTTGTCCTCCAGGAGGTTGTCTTGTCCTCCAGGAGGTTGTCTTGTCCTCCAGGAGGTTGTCTTGTCCTCCAGGAGGTTGTCTTGTCCTCCAGGAGGTTGTCTTGTCCTCCTGGAGGTTGTCTTGTCCTCCAGGAGGTTGTCTTGTCCTCCAGGAGGTTGTCTTGTTGGAGGTTGTCTTGTCCTCCAGGAGGTTGTCTTGTCCTCCAGGAGGTTGTCTTGTCCTCCAGGAGGAGGTTGTCTTGTCCTCCAGGAGGTTGTCTTGTCCTCCAGGAGGTTGTCTTGTCCTCCAGGTGGTTGTCTTGTCCTCCAGGTTTGTCTTGTCCTCCTGGAGGTTGTCTTGTCCTCCAGGAGGTTGTCTTGTCCTCCAGGAGGTTGTCTTGTCCTCCAGGAGGTTGTCTTGTCCTCCAGGTGGTTGTCTTGTCCTCCTGGAGGTTGTCTTGTCCTCCTGGAGGTTGTCTTGTACTCCAGGAGGTTGTCTTGTCCTCCAGGTGGTTGTCTTGTCCTCCTGGAGGTTGTCTTGTCCCTCCTGGTGGTTGTCTTGTCCTCCTGGAGGTTGTCTTGTCCTCCAGGTGGTTGTCTTGTACTCCAGGAGGTTGTCTTGTCCTCCTGGAGGTTGTCTTGTCCTCCTGGAGGTTGTCTTGTCCTCCTGGAGGTTGTCTTGTCCTCCTGGAGGTTGTCTTGTCCTCCAGGAGGTTGTCTTGTCCTCCTGGAGGTTGTCTTGTCCTCTGGTGGTTGTCTTGTCCTCCTGGAGGTTGTCTTGTCCTCCTGGAGGTTGTCTTGTCTTGTCTCCTGGAGGTGTGTCTCCAGGAGGTTGTCTTGTCTCCTGGAGGTTGTCTTGTCCTCCTGGAGGTTGTCTTGTCCTCCTCCTGGAGGTTGTCTTGTCCTCCAGGAGGTTGTCTTGTCTCCTGGAGGTTGTCTTGTCCTCCTGGAGGTTGTCTTGTCCTCCAGGTGGTTGTCTTGTCCTCCAGGTGGTTGTCTTGTCCTCCAGGTGGTTGTCTTGTCCTCCTGGAGGTTGTTTTGTCCTCCAGGAGGTTGTTTTGTCCTCCAGGAGGTTGTCTTGTCCTCCTGGAGGTTGTCTTGTCCTCCAGGAGGTTGTCTTGTCCTCCAGGTGGTTGTCTTGTCCTCCAGGTGGTTGTCTTGTCCTTGTCCTCCTCCAGGAGGTTGTCTTGTCCTCCAGGTGGTTGTCTTGTCCTCCAGGAGGGTTGTCTTGTCCTCCAGGAGGTTGTCTTGTCCTCCAGGTGGTTGTCTTGTCCTCCTGGAGGTGTCTTGTCTTGGAGGTGTCCTCCTGGAGGTTGTCTTGTCCTCCAGGAGGTTGTCTTGTCCTCCTGGAGGTCCTCCAGGAGGTTGTCTTGTCCTCCTGGAGGTTGTCTTGTCCTCCAGGTGGTTGTCTTGTCCTCCTGGAGGTTGTCTTGTCCTCCAGGTGGTTGTCTTGTCCTCCAGGAGGTTGTCTTGTCCTCCTGGAGGTTGTCTTGTCCTCCAGGAGGTTGTCTTGTCCTCCAGGAGGTTGTCTTGTCCTCCAGGAGGTTGTCTTGTCCTCCAGGAGGTTGTCTTGTCCTCCAGGAGGTTGTCTTGTCCTCCTGGAGGTTGTCTTGTCCTCCAGGAGGTTGTCTTGTCCTCCAGGAGGTTGTCTTGTCTCCAGGAGGTTGTCTTGTCCTCCAGGAGGTTGTCTTGTCATCCAGGAGGTTGTCTTGTCCTCCAGGAGGTTGTCTTGTCCTCCAGGTGGTTGTCTTGTCCTCCTGGAGGTTGTCTTGTCCTCCAGGAGGTTGTCTTGTCCTCCAGGTGGTTGTCTTGTCCTCCTGGAGGTTGTCTTGTCCTCTTGAAGGCTGAAAATGAGTCGGTGAGGTTGTCCAGGAGGACCTCGAAGTCTGGACCTCGAAGTCTGGACCCCTGAAGTCTGGACCTCGAAGGCTGGACCTCGAAGTCTGGACCTCGAAGTCTAGACCCCCGAAATCTGGACCTCGAAGTCTGGACCTCGAAGTCTGGACCTCGAAGTCTGGACCCTCGAAGTCTGGACCTCGAAGTCTGGACCCTCGAAGTCTGGACCCCTCGAAGTCTGGACCTCGAAGTCTGGACCCTCGAAGTCTGGACCTCGAAGTCTGGACCTCGAAGTCTGGACCCTCGAAGTCTGGACCCCTCGAAGTCTGGACCTCGAAGTCTGGACCCTCGAAGTCTGGACCCTCGAAGTCTGGACCCTCGAAGTCTGGACCCTCGAAGTCTGGACCCCTCGAAGTCTGGACCTCGAAGTCTGGACCTCGAAGTCTGGACCCTCGAAGTCTGGACCCCTCGAAGTCTGGACCTCGAAGTCTGGACCCTCGAAGTCTGGACCTCGAAGTCTGGACCCTCGAAGTCTGAACCCTCGAAGTCTGGACCTCGAAGTCTGGACCTCGAAGTCTGGACCCTCGAAGTCTTGACCCTCGAAGTCTGGACTTCGAAGTCTGAACCCTCGAAGTCTGGACCCTCGAAGTCTGGACCTCGAAGTCTGGACCTCGAAGTCTGGACTTCGAAGTCTGGACCTCGAAGTCTGAACCTCGAAGTCTGGACCTCGAAATCTGGACCCTCGAAGTCTGAACCTCGAAGTCTGGACCTCGAAGTGGACCCTCGAAGTCTGAACCTCGACCTGGACTCGAAGTCTGAACCTCGAAGTCTGGACCCTCGAAGTCTGGACCTCGAAGTCTGGACCTCGAAGTCTGGACTTCGAAGTCTGGACCTCGAAGTCTGAACCTCGAAGTCTGGACCTCGAAGTCTGGACCCTCGAAGTCTGAACCTCGAAGTCTGGACCTCGAAGTCTGGACCCTCGAAGTCTGAACCTCGAAGTCTGGACCTCGAAGTCTGAACCCTCGAAGTCTGAACCTCGAAGTCTGGACCCTCGAAGTCTGGACCCCTCGAAGTCTGGACCTCGAAGTCTGGACCCTCGAAGTCTGGACCTCGAAGTCTGGACCTCGAAGTCTGAACCCTCGAAGTCTGGACCTCGAAGTCTGGACCTCGAAGTCTGGACCCTCGAAGTCTGAACCCTCGAAGTCTGGACCTCGAAGTCTGGACCTCGAAGTCTGGACTTCGAAGTCTGGACCTCGAAGTCTGGACCTCGAAGTCTGGACCCTCGAAGTCTGGACCTCGAAGTCTGGACCTCGAAGTCTGGACCCTCGAAGTCTGAACCCGAAGTCTGGTCTGAACCCTCGAAGTCTGGACCCTCGAAGTCTGGACCCTCGAAGTCTGGACCTCGAAGTCTGGACCTCGAAGTCTGGACCCTCGAAGTCTGGACCCCTCGAAGTCTGGACCTCGAAGTCTGGCCCTCGAAGTCTGGACCTCGAAGTCTGGACCTCGAAGTCTGGACCTCGAAGTCTGGACCTCGAAGTCTGAACCCTCGAAGTCTGGACCCCTGAAGTCTGGACCTCGAAGTCTGGGCCTCGAAGTCTGAACCTCGAAGTCTGGACCCTCGAAGTCTGGACTTCGAAGTCTGGACCCTCGAAGTCTGGACCTCGAAGTCTGGACCTCGAAGTCTGGACCTCGAAGTCTGAACCTCGAAGTCTGGACCCTCGAAGTCTGGACCTCGAAGTCTGGACCTCGAAGTCTGGACCTCGAAGTCTGGACCCTCGAAGTCTAGACCTCGAAGTCTGGACCTCGAAGTCTGGACCTCGAAGTCTGGACCCTCGAAGTCTGGACCCTTGAAGTCTAGCCCACGAAGTCTGGGCCCCCAGCACAGCTGCTCAGCGTCGTTACTCAGCGTGCCCGACAGCTATAGCAGCTTAACCCTGATTGGCTGCGGCTTAGCATGCAGCCGACCAATGGAAACTTGCCACAAGAATGGTAGCGAGGGGGGAGGGGGGGGAGGGGCGTCTCCTGCTTGTTTAACAGCTCGGCGATTGGTTCCCTGTGTCCTGGAAAGGTATAGTTTACGGCTAACTCCAACAGCACAATCAAAGCCCATGTGGTTGTTATGGTAAACTCAAAATGCTTTACATTAACACACACATCAAAGGATAATACCACTGGAGATATGTTCGAAATTGGTGTTTATATATGTGAGTTCATCTTCCAGTTTAAACTGAAAGTTGGTATCGATACCAACTATCGGTTGGTGTCTGTCTGTCTCTCTCTCTCTCTCTCTCTCTCTCTCTCTCTCTCTCTCTCTCTCTCTCTCTCTCTCTCTCTCTCTCTCTCTCTCTCTCTCTCTCACACACAACATACAATCCCAGCAAGTACACAAACCTAACCACAATGTTAGTTTCACAACTGTTATTTAATGCAAAGTTAACAGCGTAGTTACATAGTTGTGATTACATTATATATTAGTTCAGATAATATGATCAAATGAGAAAAAAAAATCGAAAAGTTCTCTGGGAATCGAAGCCTGATATCA